CGCGATTTGTGTACAAGTCCTCGCGAACGGGAACGCGAGAGCCGAAGTTAACCGTGCGGCTTCCTACCGCGGTTTCTTGGCCGGCGCGACGGCATGCAGAGCATCACGTCGCCCGCATCGCTCCGCTGGATTTTTCCTCCGGTTTATTTATAAGCGCATTAATATTCTCGCTTTCGGCCCGCTCAATGGCTTCTCTCTCTCTCTCTCTCTCTCTCTCTCTCTGTCCATCCTAACTCGATCCTCGGTTATGACGCGTTCATCCTAAACAATTGATCGGTTTCGTATTTTATTACGTTCCCGTTTCGCGCTCTCTTTCCTTTATCTTCTTTTCTCGAGCATGGCGAAGCGATGAAGAGTAAGCGCGGGGAAGCTATCTCTCTTGATTTACTGAGCGCTGTTCTCTTAACTGGAGTAGTAAATGGAGTGAATAGCGGAGAGTAAACAGCTGGGAGAACTTACTTGAGAATTCTAGATTTAAATCGGTCATTTCTAGTATACGAACCGTGGGCGATCCGCTAGCTGTGCCATGTAGAATCGAGATATAGACAAGCGATTATTCTCGGATTAACTGCATTGTACAAGTTGCTCAAGTTGTACAACTTGCGTACTACACTATACCGTTACAGCGATCATCTTAAAATCCGGTATAATAAATTCAATTTGTTTTTTTAAAGACTAAATATCGGTCGTGAAAATATTGATCCATTACTTATTTTAATTCAGTCATGCAAATTTTATCTCTTCTTTTTTTTTTTGACACTACGGATATTTATCTTTCGGAGCTAACGTGGGTCCCGATTGTATTCTTCGTTATCTGCAAACTTGAATTATTATTACTAAAATAAATTTAATATTGAAAATTTTTTTTAATTGAAAATCTTTTCGAAAAGTGTCTTATAAATATAAAATATAAATAAAAGGGAGCACACAGCCGCACAACACTAGATGTCTTAAGCGAAAGTCATGTATTTAAAATTATAATATAATAACGTAGACGTTCCGATCAAGATTTGATCATCATCAGTACATACAAAAATAAAGATGTTAAAAATAAAAACACAAAATTAAACAATAAACGCTAGTCAGAAAGGATTGCAAAACAATTTTCAATTCGCTTATAGTACGAGATAACAGAGTAATTAAACATTCATTCTTTTTCATACAAATTATGTAATTTTGATTTTCTTGAAATTTTAATTAATAACTTTTAATCAACATGTATTAAATGGATCTCACAGACTCAGTGTTAGTAAATTTGTAACGATGTTAGCTCCAGAAGATTACTTAAGCATCGCGTGACGATGTTTATTAGTTATTATTCATTTTTGTAATGATAATAATCGATCTAATTTTCCCAAAATAATTTTCCGCACGTACGATTTACAGTATTTTAACTTGAAACACGAAGCGCCTTACCGGTCCGAGTGTTAAGATGTTGAACTACTATATAACGTACGTTCACTTAAATTGAATTAATTTTCAGAAATACAGTATTTCGTTTTTCTTTCCCGAAAGAGAGTATAAATAACTTCTCCAACTTACGCGTTCCGTCTATTCTCTTAATTACGCCTGTCCGCCTCTCTCCGTCACAGGGGGATTGATGGAAATTGACTGGACCGAAGGAGCGTAAGTGGCTCGATGGCTTTGTACTTCTGTTTCTGTGTCCAAAAGTAAATCATGAGTCCAGAGTATGGGACGTACGGAACGAGGAGAACGCGGAAAGCGACGCTCGCGAAATTCGCACGACGTACGCTATTCCACAGCCCACCCCGACGGCGCGGCACGTCATTTAACGGTCGACCGTTCGAGAACTCCTATATCCCCCGGTTGATAAATTATATATTGTCGCGTGTCAAGCCTTCTCCTGTGACAATTCGCAATTATCTTACGTAGCTCCCGAAGTGTACGCCCCCCCCCCCCACGTCGTATCGACCCCAAGTGAGTGTAACAAACTTGTCTGGAAATCCTTCAAGTTCGTAAAACGTAGTACATAAAATTGTTGCGTTACATTTTCTCAAACAAATTCATAAACAGTTGAAGTTCATGGCGCACGAAGTTCAGAGTGGGAATGCGCCATTTGCGCGGACGGCAAATAAACGAAAGGTTTCAAGAGGAAACGGCCGAAAGAGGGAAACAGTTCCAAAAGTAAACGACTCTATACATAAGCCTAAGTTCCCGTCTCGTGGAATAGATAAGGTGAAAAGAATGAAAGTTCCGTCCATTAGCGGAGTAAGCGTATGATCGTCGCCGAGAGTTTTCATAAAGTTGAAGTAAAACGATGGCAAATAGGGCGGCTAGCAGCGGGAAAACGAGAAAAAGCTTTTTCGGAACTTTTGCCCGATATCGCAAGTTCAAAACTTCGGCCAAGGCGGATATTTCTGCGGCATCCTAGATATATCGTCGCCAGTTATTTCTGGATTCACCTAGATTTTCAAAGCGACCGGAATCCCCAAATAATTCAACAAAGGAGAGGCACGAAATGTCTACCGAAATGTTCACCGATATCTATTGGGCATACAAGAAGTGCCAAGGATGTGCGTGTGTGTGTGTGTGCGAGAAGCAACAACTCGGGGTACGTTAAAAAATCTCTCCATTTCCCTTCGTTTTTCTTCTTCATGTTTTTCTTTTTTTTTATAACTTGTCATTATTTTATATTCATATAGGGATTGCCCTAGAATATATTAATAAATGCCTTTGCTCTCTAAATTGTTTACAGTGAAATCTCTAAAGAGTGAAAATTGAAAAAGAGTGACTCAATTTTCAATCTTTAAGAGTACAAGACTACACTCTTTAGTGACAATCTAATCTAACAGTTTTACAGAGTATCTATGCTTATTACTCTATCAAAATAAAAATCCGTGGTGCAAAAGTCTTTTCGAATAACTTTGTGCTCGGAAATCGGCAACGATTCGGAAATGCGAAACAAAAGTGTCGGTATTCACAATCCATTCTTATTCGAAGATCGTCTTAAGTAATGTCTTAAGACGCCTAACACGACTCTCTCATTGGTGGCATCTTAAGACTGTACTGAAATATAAGAACCGACTGTGAGTACCAGGCAAAGAGAATGTCTGAAAATTCTGTGGCAAATTAACTTTCTTCTTGCTCTCTCCACCTGGAGAACGTTTCCTCCTGCGAGTTTCCGGATCTGAGGAGTCGTCGGACGTCGGTCGCCAGCCCGCTGATATCGCGGAAAATCCGTGCCGGCCTGTACCCTCCCCGAACTATTTTAATAACTCGGTGCCAAACGGCACTGAGCCGCCACTGCAAATACGCGACAAAACGACGACACGTCCCTCCGTCACCGCGGTCTCGTGGTCCCGTTACGCGTTTCCTCCCCGTCGCAGTCTTACCGGGCCATCCCTCCACCCATGTCACCCACGCAAAAAGGCGAAAATACACTCTCACTTCGACAGGGATGCAACGCGGACGGTCTCCACCTTCCGTCCCCGCGACGGGAAAATGATCGGCGAGGAGGAGACGGCGAGATGCCGTCGAGGAGCCGCCCGAATTTATTTATAGGTTTACAATAACGTAAGTTGATGAAGCGCCAGGCGACGAGCTACGTGAATTGTCGCGACGCGCGATATGTATGTATGTATGTATGTATGCGACGTGTAAATCTTACGCCGGTTGTATAGCGAAATGGATCCGCAGAAATAGAAGAAAAATCGACGAGGATCGTCTAATCGAGATTCAACCTCAGGTTTCGCCTGATTACGCGCCAATTTGTTATTCTTACTTTTTTTAACGTAGCCGTAGCGAGGTATAAAAGAGTAAATCCGAAAAAGTAACGCGTAATTTCGTATCGTGTGAACTACGTTCTGCGTAATTCTTTCCTAATGCAGTTCGAGATCATGTCCGACATAGGAAGCTCAATGATATAAATACTGAAGATTAATTAAATTACTGTCGGAGATAAAATTGACACTCACCTTTTTGCTGGATTTGAAGACGTTACATTTGAAAGTATTACTGCTCCCGTCACGGGCAATGTAACTGAATATTTTTAAATCGTGGCTGTCGTGCGAAACGTAAAATATCCTAAAGAAAAACAAAAGTACATCCAGTATTTGTTTTACTCAAAAATTATCCAAGTCATCTAAATTGCGCATTATTTTCCGGATTTTTCACGTAATATTTCGTGATATTATTTTTACGATGATAATTTCATTATTTTTATGCGATATTCTTCATCGTATTCATTTACTAATATTTCCATATTTCGTACGAGTATCATATAAATTGCAAAAAGATTTAATAAATCAATAAAGAAAAAGTACCAAGTTACGATAAGTAGGCGATCTTACCTGTAAATTGGATGATGCATCAGATATATTTTATTCTCGTCCATCCATTGCTGCTGTTTCTTCTGTAAAAAGATCACGAATCGAGTCATCGGCGAGTCATTACTTAAAAAATATTATTAACTGATATATATATATATATATATTTTTTTTTTTTTTTTGGCTATTGCCGGCTATCGGTTACGGCATGTAAAGCATCAAAAATATATGAGGCGCCCATGTGTATCAGTGCGAAGACAACGTGGCGCTTGTCCAAAATCATTTCTCGTTATAAATTTCAACTGTTACGAAATACACGTCATCGAGTGTACGCGATTTTCCCCTCTTGTCTTGCCGCCCCTCCAAGTCATTCGCGAATGACGTCCTTATTTTATGCGGACGTCGTGGAAATCTTTCGATGTCGCCAAGAGGAATTTTCGCGTACAAGAATTGCGCTGATGTAGCAAGCAAACGACGAAATCGCATGTAGAAAATATATCAGCGTAACTCCGCAGAAAATAGAAATTAGTTAAATTAGAAACAGATTTTACGAGATCGCAGTAGATTGCAGTAAGAATAGTAGAGGAGTGTCGTTTTTAACACAAACACTGGGGATTGAGTTTTTGAGAATTCTTTTATCGATTACTTAATCCTCTGAAGCTGCGAATCTTAAACTATTTGATTATAAATCTCTTTCGTCATAAATGTCAAACAATGAAATCATTCAATTTTCTTGATGATACATATCTGCAGAATTGTATTCTTATAGATAAATAAATTAAATAAATAAATTAACTAAATAAATTTAATTAATTAATTAAGACACATAATACATTCGTTATTTTTTTTAATGTCATTTAATTCCTTAAAATTAATTAATGCCTTTTAATCAATTTATATTAAATGGATCTCACAGAGACCTCCCCAGTCTATGTTACAAATTTTGACGTCAACTTCGGAGAGTTAAATCATTCAAATCCGCGTCAGTGTGCGTAATATATTCCTTTTCTCTTCATTTCTTCTTGAAATTATGTAATATACTATTCAGTTTAACAGACTCATCTCATTCGCTTGTGTACGAGAATTAGCTTATCCGGCTTAGGGGTTAACGAGATGATTTGAGACAACGCGTTCAATCATATGCATACGAGCGAGTAGCAACATAGTCTTCAACAAGGATTACCTTCTTTTTCCGTAGGGTCACTTTCAGCCCATCCACCGAGACCTCCAGCGTCACTTTCTTTTTCTTGATCCCTTTGGCCTTAAATTCGTACTGTGAATCAAATGAGTTCAAATTGCATGAAACGATCCGCGGTTACGGAGACAAAACTGTTTCTCTAACTGGGTTAATTAGCTATTACGCGTACTCACGCGGATTCTTCGCATCGCCGCCACGATCTCCACTCGGCTAGTCGGTCGCGGAACCTCCATAGAGCCGATGAACTGAAAAGGAAGAAACATAGCGGTTCGCTGAGATAACGATTGGCTAACAATTCGCTGGATGAAGGATAGAATAAATAGTACGACTTGTCTTTTCCCTTTAGGAAAATTTATTTATATCTCGAAAGCTCGCGAAAGGTTCAATTGTAGTCATCGATCCTACAGTTCATTTCAAACAATTAAAATTAATTCTCTCAATACACGAAGAGTGATCGATACAACTGGCATAATGAAATCTCTCGAGATATCTCCCTCGTCAAACTAAAGGAAACGATCTTAAAAAAAATCTTCATCTTTTTTTAGTTTTAGGAATTGGAAGAAAATGAAGAACAAGAAAATGATTGAACCGAGAAGATTGTAATTAATCTATACTAAACGGGTAGAAACGGGCATTGATCAACGCGTTAATTTTCCGGCAATTGCCTTGGTAGAATAAATGTTAGGAACTTTGCAGCGAGATCTCGATGACATACGGAGCGTCCCGGTCGCATTTGTAGTAAACAAAATACATTATACGTAGTTATGCTACCATAACCATACAGCGGGAGAAGCACCGACGATCTGTATTTAGAATTCCCCCATTGAAAGCGACGGCCTTAGCCACGTGTTCGGGTGATTCGATGTACACGTGGTGTTCTCCCACGCACACGCTTGCGACAGGAAGAGGACGGTCTCTTTGTAAATTTGCGATCGATAGCCGCCGGCGTCTTGCGATAACACCGAGAAGGAATTGAAGAGAAGCTACTCGCGTAGCTAAAAAAAAAAATCTCGCTTTGACTTCGCGTGTTTCTCATCAGAAAAACCACTTGAAATCGATCTGCAACACATTTCGCTGAATTGAAATAAATTTAGTTACCGGACTATATATTTCCTGCATTACAATTCTGTAATGAATACGTGTGTTACTTCGTACGGTAGATGCAATATTAATAGCAAAGTTTCTCTCTCTTTCTGCGGAATATATCGATTTGTATTTATAGCCCCACTAAGCGCTAAAATCTGATTCTTGAACAGCATTGTGCGCACGATTTCTCATATAAGACAAATTGCAAACTCCAGCTGAGTTTTAACACTAAATATAAACACAAATATGATTGACGGTCTATTAATTTATGCCTCGGTGGTCTAATATGTAGCTCAGGACGCTCGTACGGAATACAAGAGATCCGGATTCAAGTCAAGATCGAGGTAATATTCTTCGCAATAAATTTATTTGAAGTTTATCAGCACATTAACACTCTTATAACATGATATCGGATTGAAGATTTAAGGATTTGCTTGTCAATTTAATTTAACTTGTGCGATATTATTGCAGTAGTTTAATAAAGCGTTTGATAAAGTCCGGAAAAATTTCGACGCGCAGTTTTGAATAACTACAAAAAATATGGTATACATGCATATATAGGATGTAGATAATTCACTGTGAATTATTTGGGCATTTGGAGGATCTAGCTTTGACCGTCATAGGCTTGAATATGCTTATACTTGAGTGTCTATTAATTTACTTAGCATTTCAGAATCAGTTTTTTTGCGACAAATATCTATGGATTAGACAAAATTATTATTTTTCTTTTAATATTAATAATGAGATTATTTTCTTATTTTGTGGCCATATTGGAAAGAAACGCTTGAGGGGGAAAAATGGAAAGAATATTCTCGATCGAGACGTAAAATTCGCCTGAAGATTCAGTTCACAGGTCGCTCTCTCTCGAAATCATTTTCGCGATACTTTTCCCGGGTTGGCAAATAAACGAAGCGTCGTTCAGAGTTCTATGAACCGAGAAAGTTTCAGAAACGTTAGTTCGGAACTCGCTTTAAAGACGTCTTCCGATACGCGATTCGAGCTTCTACGTAAGCGCGAACGTCATAATCGACGACGCGACATAAATCAAAAGTCGAAAATGCTGAAACGATTTTCACACAGCGCGGCGTGCGGGATTTACGAGCGCGGGGGTGCACACAAAAGCTTTAACCTTTCTCAGGAGAAGTGCCACCGAAATAAACACGGGCACGATACGATGACGTCACGGAGAACGGCGTCGTCGTCCAGAAATAAGCCAACTGGTATCGCGACTGTCGTCGCAATTATTGCACCATCAACGACGACAACGACGACCACGACCACGACCACGACCAAGACGACGACGACGACGACGACGACGTAAAAATATTATTCTCTTGCACAATCGGCGAGTTTCCGAGAATCGATTTCGAAAGACCGGGAAACCCAAGGATATTGTCTTTCCTAACGTTACGTTACTCGTTCCCCGTCATCAGAGACTGCAGTTTGCGTTCGTCTCGCGATTCAGTACCGTTGCAAAAAGATCACTCCGAGGTCTTTATCGCCCATTGTGAGAAATAATATTAGAAACGATAAGAAAATAAGATACCAACCGCACACATTTCCCTCACTTTTTCAAACTCGCTTATAGAACATTCGGTTGAATGAACTACATGGTGCATATTAACCCTTAAAACACATACATGTGTGTGGGTCTTTCAATCGAAATTTCGCTTGCTTCGAAGAAAAGGAAAGGGAGAGTTTTATTTTATAATTTAACAATGTGCTAAAGGGAGAGATTCAGGAATATACATACGCAGGCTGTAATGCCAAATTTTTATGGCATTACAATCTATGTAGGTATATTCCTAAATGTCAGGGGGTTCAAAATAAAAAAAAAGGAATCTATAAATATTGCTCTGAACCGAAATTACAGCTTGCAGTGGGTCTTCCAGATCACTGGTGTGTTTTCAGAATTTTTCAGAAGGTGTTGTACGGTTAAAATTGTTGTACACTGATTTAATCTGTAAAAATAAAATTATATTATACAATTATTTCGGATTATAAAACACAGATTTAACAGCACGATAAAATGCATTGAGAATTTTATGATTTAATAATTCGTTTCTTATATTTACATTAAACATTTGTACGTGAATCTGTGTACAACGACTTTAATGTACAGCAATACGTACTGAGTGCATCCAGTCGAATTCGCTATTAGAAACACTTTAACGCAGCCACGCTTCAGTTCGCAATATTGCGCGAAGGTGTCCCTTCGCGCGTTCACAAATTTGTCCTTTCTCGCGTCATTGTGTCGATAATACTACAAATATCTTACTGAAACGAGACTAAGAAGGCGTGAAAATTCTTTTTTAGCGCAATCATGTCAAAGCAGATGCTTTCGTTCCCATCGCACGGCGGTCAGAGGAACGAAGCGTGGTTTATAGTCGACATACATTTTCCTCTGACGTGAGACGCTATCGACCGTTAGTGTTGCTATTTTCTGAAAGTGTGCACTCGCTTGGCGCAAAACGCCACGATGGAATTTTTGTAATTAGAAATCCCCGTCGCATTTGATTGTAATCGGCGCAATTTGAGTATTACTGTCCAGTAGGGAAATCAATATTTTTCTTGGGCGCGGAGCTGTTTGAATTTTACATAAGCGAGAGATCGTTCGACAGTCTAAAAATGTTTTACGGTTTCTTCCAGCTTAAACATTTTTTTTTATGTCTTTCTTATGTCGAGACATAAAATATTCTCGGTATTCTCGGGGAAACTCTCTCGAGTGGAGACTCTCGAACGAGATCGGAAATATAGAAACGTGAAGGTAGAAGGATGCAAGGATGTGTATTTCAGGTTGGCAAGAGCGCCGAGACAGACTCGCCGAGAATTGAGAAAAACGAATAGAAACCGGAGGTTGCTCGTATGGGCCGAAGTGGATAAGAAATCACCCCAGATTACCTTGGCGTGGAACACGATTCCGCGGTGGAACGCCTCCTCGCTGTGCAGCGGTATTCGCGTGTCGTACTCGTCATTATGTACGAGGTTGTATTGCTTCTTAGAGGGCATGCTGAGCCCAGCTGCATTCGACTACGCTCGTCCAGCCTGGCTGCAATTATAATGAACGATCCATTAGTATTCTCATGGATAAATGATCCTGGACGGCTCATTTCTACACAAATAAAGCAGCTGTCGAATTTCTAAGACATTTCGTACTTCGAAGCTGCATCACAAATACCGGGTAGCAGAATTAGACGCGAGAATAATCTTTCACATTCTGCATAATC